TTAGGGTTTAGGGTTTAGGGTTTAGGGTTTAGGGTTTAGGGTTTAGGGTTTAGGGTTTAGGGTTCAGGGGTATGAGGAGGGCCGCCTGGAAGGGACCCTTAATCTTTTTCCCCGAAATCAACTCTGGATATACCTCATATAGTCCCTATATACCTAAGTAGCCCCGAAATAACCCCTAAGGCCCCTTATAAGGGTCCCTCCTGTAGTCCGCTTGAACCCCTCTATACTACCCCCAAACCCCCCTAGGTTCCCCCCGATGATTCAGGCTATTTCGGGATAATTCACCCTTGTCAAGGTTATGGGAACTTAGGGGGGTAGTATAGGGGGCAGTAGGGAAACCCTAAACCCTCAACCCTCAACCCTCCCTAAACCCTAAACCCTAAACCCTAAACCCCAAACCCTAAACCCTAAACCCTAAACCCCTAAACCCTAAACCCTGAACCCTAAGCCCTAATTTCGGAAACTCCCATTTAGGGCCGGCCTTGAGCTGCTAGCAGGCTGCATCTTGGCGACAAGGCGCGAGAGGGACTTACTGCCCTCCGCTCTCGACTCGTGCTCGAACGCAGCAATAAACCCTCAACCCTAAAACCCTAAACCCTAAACCCTAAACCCTATATCCACAAGCCCGGAAACCCTGAGCACTTTTAGCTGCGGGACGAGGCAGAGGCTTTCCCACGAAGCAAGGGCCCCTAACTAAAGGCCGCCCCGAAAACCCTAACCGTAAACCCTAAACCCTAAACCCTAAAGCCCTAAAACCCTAAACCCAAAACCTTAAACCCTAAAGCCTAAACTTTACCACATGCCATGCTCCACGTTCTCCATCCCAAGGTCAAAGCCGCCCTAGAAGCCCTGCAAAAGCTCTAGGGTTTCGCGTTTCGGGTTTAGGGTTTCAGGGTTTCAGGGCTTCGGGTTTAGGGTTCAGGGTTTAAGGTTTAGGATTTAGGGTTTCCAGGTTTCAGTTTCAGGGTTTAGAGTTTATGTAGGGAAATTTTGCCCGCGAGAAGAACAGAATGGCCGTTCATTATGACATACCTTCTCCCAATCGGTCCACTTACCCTGAGTACCTCGTGATCATGTACTTGGGCCCTACAGTTCCTCAACAGGAGGTACTTTAAGGCCCAAGCATTCCCCATTTAGGTACATGGACCCTTAGGGTCACAGTACTACTTTGGAATCAAGCACCAAAAGCCATACCACACAAGGCCTTTTGGGAACCAAACTCTAGATCTGAAAGATAAGTGGATCCTCTGGGTATACCGCAAGCCCTAAACGCGGGAACTCCGAAATCTTGATCAGATGTCCTGCATCCCATGCTCTCCAAGTAAAGAGCTTAGGGTTTAGGGCTTAGGATTCAGGGTTTTTAAATAAAGAGCTTAGGGTTTAGGGCTTAGGATTCAGGGTTTTTAAGTAAAGAGCTTAGGGTTTAGGGCTTGGGATTCAGGGTTTTTAAAGAAAGAGCTTAGGGTTTAGGGCTTAGGATTCCGGGTTGTTGGGGAGCTCATAAGCTTGAGGCAATGTGGGGTTGGGGTTTAATTCAGCCCTCTGCTATGACAGGTTCTACCCGCCAGGCCAGCCCTAAACCCTAAAACCTAAACCCTAAATCCCGCACCCTGAACCCTATACCGCCTATTCCCTAAACCCACTAGCAGTAGTAGGCATTTGGGGAGCCTCCTAAGGGTGTAGTGGCTTGGTGCTTACGCTCCCGAAACAGCTTTGCACGTCGTCCTTGATCTCCACGACCAGCCGCCGACTGCGGGAACAAGGGTTTTAGGGTTTGGGGTATGGGTGTAGGGTTTACGGTTTAGGGGGTTGGGGTGAGGGTCTAGCCCTAAACCCTAAAGTTCAGGGTTAGGATCAAGGGTTAGGGGTTAGGGTTCAGGGTTCAGGGTTTAGGGTTTAGGGTTTCGGATTTTGGATTTTCTGGGTATAGGCTGGCCAGGTCCAAAGTTGATGGACAGCTTCTTCGGCCACGAGCCTGGTTTACTGAGCTTAAGACCCAGAACACCTGAGCCCCAATCCCTTCAGCCCCAAGACCCGGAATTACACCTAGACCCTAAACCCTAATTCAACCCTAAACCCTAAACCTTAAACCATCTTAAACCCTAAACCCTAAACCTTAAACCCTAATCCTAAACCCTTTCAGCCCACATCCCCAAACAAAGCCCCCTCAACCCCCTAAACCCTAGACCCCAAACCCTACACCCTACACGCTAAACCCTAAACCCCAAACCCTGAACCCTGAACCCTAAACCCTAAACCCTAAACCCTAAACCCAAAAACCCTAAACCCGAAACCCTAAACCCTAAACCCTTTCCCGGGGTGGGGCACTTCTGATGGGACAGCAAGGCGGTGCGCTCGCTTTGGAGAGACTTGGCCAGGTCGTTGATGTGCAGCCTGCACTGCTGTTTAGGGTTTAGGGTTTAGGGTTTAGGGTTTAGGGTTTAGGGTTTAGGGTTTAGGGTTTAGGGTTTAGGGTTTAGGGTTTAGGGTTTAGGGTTTAGGGCTTAGGGCTTAGGGCTTTAGGACTACCGGTGCCCGAAGGCAGTCGCAGAGGGATTGGTAAATCAATTCCCACAGCGGTCACAAAGTCCCCCGCATTTCATTCTTGGCCAGGACTTCTAGGGTTTAGGGTTTAGGGTTTAGGGTTTAGGGTTTAGGACTAAATCATGGGCCACACCCATGCTGTATAGGGCCGCTGGAAGCATGGCCCCTACTGCCACTGAGCGGTGCCGGTTGCGATTACAGCACACCAGCACGGCCAACTTCCAACTCTTGTGCCTGCCACGGTCCAAGGTGGCAGGTTGCCAGGCAAAGTTGACGCTACCTAAACCCTAAACCCTAAACCCTAAACCCTAAACCCTGAACCCTGAACCCTGAACCCTGAACCCTAAACCCTAAACCCAAAAGCACATGCTGCACGCATGGGTGGAAGACCACCATAGAGCTTGCTGGCTGCTCCACGAATGCCAGCAGAGCGAAGCGCGTTGCTTGCTGGTTTCCCTGAGCTGCGAAGGCGGGGTTTAGGGTTTAGGGTTTAGGGTTTTGGGTTTAGGGTTTAGGGATTAGGGTTTAGGGTTTAGGGTTTAGGGTTCAGGGTTCAGGGTTTAGGGTTTAGGGTTTAGGGTTTAGGGTTTAGGGTTTGGGGTTTAGGCTTTAGGCTTTAGGGTTTAGGTAGGGTTTAGGGTTCATCCTGCGATCTTCCGGATGAAGGTGAACGAATCCAAACCCTGCTAGCAAGGTTCTCTCCAAGCCTACTATGGTACCTGCGAAGGAAGCCCCTAAACCCTGAACCCTAAACCATAAACCCCAAACACTAAACCCTAAAATCTCCAAACACTGAACTCACTGAACCCAAAAACCTAACACCCAAAACCCTAAACCCTCAACCCTAAACCCCAAGCCCGAAACCCTAACCCTGAACGCTGAACCCTGAACCCTAAAACAGCGCACCCCGTGGTACAGGGTCCAGGGCCTCCCCCCTTTTCAAGCCCTCCCCCCACAGCCTGTGGACTATGGGTCTCTGGTCTCCAGTGCGAGTTGGGTTAAGGTTTAGGGTTTAGGCTTAGGGTTTAGGGTTTAGGGTTTAGGGTTTAGGGTTTAGGGTTTAGGGTTTAGGGTTTAGGGTTTAGGGTTTAGGGTTTAGGGTTCAGGGTTCAGGGTCTAGGGTGTAGGGTTTGGGGTTTGGGGTTTAGGGTTTAGGGCTCAGGGTTTACAGTTTAGAGTTGAGGGTTGAGAGTTTAGGGGTTTTGGGTATAGGGCTTAGGATTTGGAGTTTTTGACGACAGCCCTTAAACCCACAATGCCATGGATTGGAGAGGGCGCTAAAAGTCTTGGAGATCAGGGCCTGAACGGTAGGTTGGCCAGCATGGTCACGTTGACGACCTGTGCGGGTGCCATCGTTGAGGATTTAGGGTTTAGTACTGTGTTGTGGCGGACCCTAAACCCTAAACCCTAAACCCTAAACCCTAAACCCTAAACCCTAAAACCTTAACATGTCCAATGTTAGGCGCTACAGTAAGGCTTTCGGAAGCCATCGGTGGGCTCGTGGGACTCTTGTGGGCTTCTCTATGGGTTTCGGGTTTAGGGTTGAGGGTTGGGGGATTCGGGTTTCGGGTTTAGGGTTAAGGGTTTAGGGTTCAGGGCTTGGGGATTCGGGTATAGGTCCAGGCTCAGGCGAGGAGAATGATACTTAAGGTCTAGGGTTGGGTTTGGAAATTTAAGTCTCTACGGTCTAAGGCTTCGGTTAGCAGCTTGGAGGTTTTGGGCGTGGCAGGGGGGTATGACTCCCTTCTCAGCCACGACGAGCTTCATCCCAGCCAAACATCCCAGAAAAAATCGGTATGTATGTATGTATGTACGTATGTATGTATGTATGTGTGTATGTGTGTGTGTGTATGTGTGTATGTGTGTATGTGTGTATGTGTGTATGTGTGTATGTGTGTATGTGTGTATGTGTGTATGTGTGTATGTGTGTATGTGTGTAGGTCCTACACCGTAAACCTTATATAAACCCTTTACTTTTAAGCACCCTAGCCTTAAACCCGTTTAAGGGCGCGCGCAAGCCACAGAAGCACTAGAAGGTAACGAAAGGCCAGCAGCTGAATCAAACCAAATCCAAAACCCTCAAAAAGCCCCAAAGCCTAACCTTAAACTGGTGCTCTTGGGGCTACTGTGGTCCCCCTTAACTGGGTTATACCCCTATAAAACCCGAGGGCCCATACTGCAGAACCTGTAAAGAAGGGAGGGGGTCATATTAAGGGCCCATCTAGCCTCCCTTAGAAGAGCACTAAACCGCAGAAAACCCTAAACCCCAGAAGCCCTAAGCTGTCCAGTGCCCTGGCCCAAGAAGCGTAAGACCTCAGTTTATCTTGTTTGTGTCGGGTTTAGGGTTTAGGGTTAGGGTTTAGAGCTACTCTTGAAAACGTTCAAAGTGCCTGCTGGACTACTAGGGGTTTCTTGAGGTTTCGGCGATACCCTAAACCCAAATAATGAGTCACCAGTTACGTGATGGGGAAGGATGGAACTAAGTATCTTAGATACCATTTATAGCTCTTGACAGGGCCAAAAACAGGTCCTCACTAACTTCACCCCCACCAACAACCAACAACCAGCAACCCGAAACCCTAAACCCTAAACCCTAATCCGTGGGATGTTCCCCCTTACACAAACAGTCCTTAACAGGGATGCTAGTCGGGCGTACCATAACCCCAAAAAAAGGACTGTTAGTATAAGGGGGAACATCCCAACTAAACCCTAAACCCTAAACCCCAAAACCTAAACCCTAAACCCTACACCCGAAAATCCTAAACCCTAAACCCTAAACCAACCCTAACCCCTACAGTAAACCCTAAATCCTGAACCTGTTGCTTCCGGCGCCTTCCAGGATCGGAAGGTCGCCGATGCGCTGTAGTGCCGCTTCACCAGGCCTTGTCTAGGTTGGCCCCGTACCCCCCCCCCCCCACCCGCCCCCATAAAAAAGAAAAAGAAGCCTTAGGGTTTAGGGTTTAGGGTTTAGGGTTTAGGGTTTAGGGTTTAGGGTTTAGGGTTTAGGGGTTAGGGTTTAGGGTTTAGGGTTCAGGGTTTAGGGTTTAGGGTCTAGGGCTATAATTTGCTTAAGACCCCCAAAAAACTAAAAGCAATCTTCCTTAGAAGGATCATACAGCGATGGTAATCCTCTCTGCCTTGGGATGGACAGGGCGGGGGAGCCCCCCCCCATCCAAAACCCCCGGCTTGGATGGAGGGCCACCTTGGCTGGAGGGGGGCGCCTTGGATCCCCGCCTTGGCTGGACAGGGGCCTCCATCCAAAGCCCCGCCTTGGATGGAGGGGTGGCCGGAGGGGGTGGCCCCCTCATCCAAAGCCCCCCAAACCCCCCACCAGCCAAAGCCCCCCACCTTGGATTGTCCAAAGCCCCCACCTTTAAAAACACAAAGCCCCCAATATGGAGGGAAGCCCCCCCCGCCTTAGATGGAGGGGGACCCCGTAGGCTACCTGAGCATCCGATGAGCGGCTTCTTGTAGTAGCTAGAGGGCTAACCCCAAACCCCGAAACCCGAAACCCTCAGCCCTAAGCCCTAAGCCCTAAGCCCTAAGCCCTAAGCCCTAAGCCCTAAACCCTAAACCCTTAATTAATCCTACCGACTGAGGGCCCCCGCGCGCGACCTTCTTGCCGATCAGCCGGGTCTTCGGCCGGGGTTTAGGGTTTAGGGTTTAGGGTTTAGGGTTTAGGGTTTAGGGTTTAGGGTTTAGGGTTTAGGGTTTAGGGTTTAGGGTTTAGGGTTTAGGGTTTAGGGTTTAGGGTTTAGGGTTTAGGGTTTGCGGTTTGCGGTTTGCGGTTTAGGGTTTAGGGTTTAGGGTTTAGGGGTTAGGGTCAATGCAAGGGCTTTACAGGGTCTAGGGCTTGGGGTTTAAGAGGTTTAGGACTCAGGGTTTCGGACCCTAGAGGGGATATGTTGGGGCTTATGGGGGTTTAGGGGGTGTAGGGTTCAGGGTTGAGGGCCCAAAAGGGGATATGTTGGGGCTTAGGAGCTTCAGGGCTTCGGGAGGTTATGATCATCTTACCGGTTCTTCATGGTTCTTAGCAGGGAAATGGGGAAGCCCCGGCAGAAACAGGATATCCGAATACAGGAGAGAAAGTAAGGGTTTAGGGTTTAGGGTTTAGGGTTTAGGGTTTAGAGTCAACTAAGGGACCACTTGAATTTTGATGTATGCTTTTGGGTAGCTCGTGCCGCAACTGAGCTTTTTTGGGGGCGGCGGGGTCTGTCCAAATTTAGACTTCTCTGAGCTTACAAGACGTACAGTATACTAAGGGGCAATTTTTTGTACATTTTAACGAAGTCCCCTTAAAAACCCCCCAAAAAACTGTTCATTCACCACAGTTCTTGGCTTAAGGCTGTAGAGGGACTAGGGTCCGTAGAACTTTGAAAATGAGTCCAAATCAATCCCCAAGTCCCAGACCCTAAACTGCAAGGAGCTGGCTTGAGGCGGGTTTAGGGTTTAGGGTTTAGGGTTTAGGGTTTAGGGTTTTGGGTTTTGGGTTTAGGGTCAGGGCTTAGGGGTAGGGTTTGATTAGGGTTTGGGGTTCAGGGTCTGGGTCCCAGGCCCCCCGAATTACCATGTTGGGTGGATATGGGATGCAACTAGGCGGTTCTACCCGATTCTACCCCACGAATTCGTCATCTGCAGCGCTTGGCCTTGCGACTAGGCCCGAATTTAACCCGAACCCTGCGCAACTAAACCATATACCCTGAACCCTATGTCTCAACCCCTAGCCTAAACCCTGGAATATCAACCGTCTCAGGTTCTAGCTGAAATTGATGTGGGGTTTGGGGGCATGTGAGCAGTTCCCAAAATAGGGGTACCCCGCTTTAAAACCCCAAATAGAATAGAATCCCCTTAAAGGGATGTGGGGTTTAGGATTAGCCCTAAACCCTAAACCCTAAACCCGAAACCCTGAACCCCAAGCCATCCGAAGCCAAATCGAACCTAAGTTAAAGCCGAATGAAACTCTAAGCCCTAAACCTTAAACCCTAAACCCTAAACCCTAAACCCTAAACCCTAAACCCTAAACCCTAAACCCTAAACCCCAACCCTAAACGTCCTCCTCCTCATCGACGTTGGTCCGGAGTGAGATCCGGCCCCGCCGACCGACCTCGGCCTGATCCGCTGTCACTTCTCAAACCCTAAACCCTAAACCCTAAACCCTAAACCCTAAACCCCTGAGGAACTAAAGGAGGGACCCTTTATACAGGACCTTAAGCGGTTCTTTGGGGCTTATTTAGGGGCTATTTAGGAAAAAAAAAAAAAAGGGACTATAGCAGGTATATCTAAGGGTTGTAGAGGGGAATAAGATGGAGGGTCCCTTCTAGGGGTCCCTCCTTCGACCGCTTAGGGCTCGTACCCCTAAGGCAACCCTAAACCCTAAACCCTAAACCCGAAACCGGTTCCCCTTAATATGCTCCTAATATGTCTCTGATTTTTTCTTGGGGATCCAAACCCAAGGGGCTATCGGTTTCGGCAAAGGGTTTAGGGTTTGGGGTTTAGGGTCTAGGGGTTCGGCCTAGCAGGTTTTCAAGGCCCCCGTGAGATTCAAGCTTCTATGGGTCAGTAGGGCAGGGCTCTATTGAGGTTACACGGCCCAAAGAACTTTCAAAGCAATCCAGCCGGGTGCCCCATAGGCCCTAAACCCTAGCCCTAAACCCTAAACCTGAACCCTAAACCCTAGCCCTAAACCCTAAACACAAACACCTAAACCCTAAACCCTGAACGCCCCGAAGCCAAAGACACAGGCGACGCACGGTTTGGAGTTTAGGGTTTAGGGTTTCAGGTTTCAGGTTTAGGGTTTATAGGGTTTAGGGTTTAGGGTTTGGGAGGGTTTCGGGCTTGGGGTTCGGGATTTGGCTTTGGAGTTTGGGCTCCGACATTTTGGTTTTTTGGAGTATATACAAGGGGCGACTACCAAGAACAAAATGCTAAACTCCAAACCTCAAAAACCCAAAGCCGAAACCTTAACACCCCTGAACCCTAAACCCGGACCCCTAGACCCGAAACCCTACACCCCCAAACCCTAAACCCCACACTCTTCTTGAAACTTTTGGGTTGAACCATAAAGCCTAAACCCTAAACCCTAAACCCTAAACCCTAATTGGCACTAAAGCCTTGCCTAATTTAATCTCAGTCTTTAGCCTCGCTGGCCCGGTGCCGTCGAACACACTTCCTTTCCTAAACCTCAAATCCTAAACCGGAAACCCGAGATCCCGAATCCCTTGTTTGGGCTTTAATTTAGGGGTTTAGGGGTTTAGGGTTTAGGGTTTAGGGTTTAGGGTTTAGGGTTTAGGGTTTAGGGTTTAGGGTTTAGAAGCTTTCGGGTGTCGGGTATAGGGTTCAGGCGCAAGGTCTAAAGTTTTAGGGGCCAAAACCCTGCTGCCAGCTGTCGCGTGCGTTGGCTCCAAGTTTGTCAAAAGAGCTGGCACGGAATCTCTGGCGGCGCCACGACCCTGTTCGATTGTGGTGTATGGGGTCGGCAGCCAGTACCCCAAGGTCACCCAGGTGTCCGGATCATTCGTGACCTTCCGAATCATGGGGATCAGCTCCATTGCCATGCTGGTCGATCTGTGAGGAGGCTTGAGATAACAGGGCTGCACTTCGCAAGCAGCACACCTGCACTTCGCAGTGTTCAGAATAGTTTCTGACGCGGCAGGAGCTGGGACCCCGCCAAATAATACCCCACCGCAAAACACAACAATATGCCAAGCCTACGTGAGGTGTGCCCCAAGCCCTACACCTGCAACCCCAACGATGCCCTTAAACCCTAAACCCTAAACCCTAAACCCTAAGCCCTGAACCCTGAACCCTAAACCCTAAACCCCACACCCTCCTTCAAAGAACCGAGGGCCCAGGCCACGTAGCGGTGCGGGCGCAAGCCGCGGAGCTGCAACCTCAAGGTTTAGCAATCCCTATACTACACAAAAGCATGTTTTACCTTCGCGGAAAGGGGGGGGGGGGGGGGGCGGGTTGGGGGGGGGGGGGGGGGGAGGGGTGGGGCGGGGGGGGGGGGGGGGGGGGTTGTTCTTAAGCTTAACCAGGTTGTTAGGGGGCGAAATGGAGAGCCCGGGCTTTGGGGCTACCGTTTAGGTTTTTTTTTTTTTTTTGGGGGGGGGGGGGTTAAGGGTTTAGGGTTTAGGGTTTAAGGGTTTGAGGATTTGAGGGTTTGAGGGTTTAAGGGTTTAAGGGTTTAAGGGTTTAAGGGTTTAAGGGTTTAAGGGTTTCAGGGTTTTAGGGTTTTAGGGTTTTAGGGTTTTAGGGTTTAGGGTTTAGGGTTTAGGGGCTTAGAGGCTTAGGGGTTTAGAGGCTTAGAGTCAGGGGCAATGGGTTTTGCCATCGGGTTTAGGAAGCACCCTGAACCCTAAGCGATAACCACTAAGCCCTAAAACGTTAAAACCCTCAAGCCCTCAAGGCCTAAAGCCCTAAAACCCTGAAACCCTCAAAACCCTAAACCCTAAAACCTAAAACCTCAACCTTAAGCCAAAAAGAGGTCTGGAATTTCTGCTTGTGCTTAGGACTGGGTGCTGACGGTGTTTCGCTTCATGGCTGAGTCCATCAAGAGGGTTTAGGGTTTAGGGTTTAGGGTTTAGGGCTTAGGGCTTAGGGCTTAGGGTTTGGGGCTTAGGGTTTAGGATTCAGTCCAGGGTTGAGGGGGTTTTGGGGTATAAGGGCTTCTGATATCCAAGTCTTCAACAGCATCAGGGACAGGGTTGCTACGGGAGGTGCCTAGAGAACCTTGGGCGGTTTAGGGTTTAGGGTGTAGGGTTTTTTAGGGCTTAGTGTTACGAATTCAGGGTTTGACCCTAAGGCCGAAACCTTCCACGACCAAAGCAAGCCGTTGCTATCAAGCGACGTCCCCTTTTCGGTGTACTGCGTGTTCGGCAGCTGTCCGACGACAGGCTTGGGGCTTAGGGTTTAGGGTTAGGCTTCAGGGTTTTTGGGTTTTCAGTTTACAGCATAAGCCTCGTGTGGATAAGCAGTTTCTCGCTAGCCGGAAACAAGTTTGACTTCCTCGGCCCCCGTTCTTGGGATTCCAGGTTAGGGTTTAGGGTTTAGGGTTTAGGGTTTAGGGTTTAGGGTTTAGGGTTTAGGGTTTAGGGTTTAGGGTTTAGGGTTTAGGGTTTAGGGTTTAGGGTTTAGGGTTTAGGGTTTAGAGTTTAGGGTTTAGGGTTCAGGGTTCCGGGTTTAGGGTTTAGGCTTTAAGGGCATCGTTGGGGTTGCAGGTGTAGGGCTTGGGGCACACCCTACACCCTAAACCCCAAAATACCATTTGCTTAAGAATGCCCCAAAACCAAAATACTTGTACAAGAAAGTTTAGTTTTTTCGGGGTTTAGGGTTGAGGGTCTAGGGTTCTTTAGCAAATAATGGACAAGCCCTCAGATCCGCGTGTAAGTCGGGGTTTAGGCTGGGACGTGGGTCCGGTGCGTATTCCACCGTGGTGTGTAAGGGTTTAGGGTTTACGCTTTAGGGTTTAGGGTGTGTCGCATTCGAGACTCTACAAAAGAAGGGACTGTGCCAGGAGTGAAGTATTGTATGGAAATTTGCAGTATCTCAGATGTTGAACTTAGCGGACATGATCTGGTAAACATTATCGTCATGGAGAAGCAAGCAACCACCGCGCCCGAAAGCCTTCCACAAAAGCCCTAAACCATACCTTGAAAATCCCCAAATCGAGTTTGTTTGTAAACGAATCCTACAGGGGGGTTCATAATCATGACCTACACAAAAAAGCCTGTTCCCTCAACCCTAAACCCTGAACCCTAAACCCTAAACCCTAAACCCTGAACCCTAAACCCTAAACCCTAAACCCTAAACCCTGGGTTCTTAAGGTCGACTCTACACCAAGTCCCGTGCCTGGTCCGCCAAGAGGGCAAGGTCCAGAGGAATGCCCAGGTCAAAGCCGGCGATGCAGGTCCTCTCTCCAATAGGGGTTTGGGGTTTGGGGTTTGGGGTTTAGGGTTTAGGGTTTAGGGTTTAGGGCTTAGGGCTTAGGGTTAGGGTTTAGGGCTACTACGTTGTATCATACGTTTAGGGTTTAGGGTTTAGGGCGAGAGTAGGGAACTAAAGGACGGACCATTATTATGGACCTTAGGGGGTTATAGGGGGGGGGGGTTATGTAGGGGCTACTTAGGTATAGGAGGACTATATAAGGTATATATACACCCTACACCCGAATTCCTAGACCCGAAACCCGAAACCCGAAACCGGAAACCCTGAACCCTAAACCCTAAACCCTGCACAGGGGAAAAAGATTAAGGGTCCCTGCTAGGGTTCCTTATACCCCCTTAACCCTCTCTCTAAGGACCCCGCATCCCAGGGTGTAGGGATTGGGGTTTGGGGATTCGGGTTTAGGCTTTCATGTTTAGGGGTTAGGGTTTAGGGAGCCTAGGGCCTCGTTTAGGGTTTAGGGTTGAGGGTTTAGGGTTTAGGGTTTAGGGTTTAGGGTTTAGGGTTTAGGGTTTAGGGTTTAGGGTTTAGGGTTTAGGGTTTAGGGTTTCGGGTTTCGGGGGGCTTGCTTTTCAGGCTTAGAACCCCAGGCTTAGAACCCCAAATCCTACACCCTTAACACACCTTGCCCTTCGGTGTTGGGGATTAGGGTGTAGGGTTTGGTGCTAAGCTCAGCAAGGGCTTCGCGAAGGCTTGTGGTTTAGGGTTTAGGGCTTCGGGAGTAGGATTTAGGGCATACTTCTTGAGGCTTTGCCGCGCGCCGAGAATCGAGAGCGCAAAAAACCCTAAACCAAAAACCCTAAACCCTAAACCCTAAACCCAAAACCCTAAACCCCAAACCCCTAAACCCCTAAACCCCACACCCCTGTAAACCCCCAAACCCCCAAACCCCTAAACCCCTTAAACCCCTAAACCCCCAAACCCCCAAACCCCTAAACCCCTTAAACCCCTAAACCCCCAAACCCTAAACCCCTTAAACCCCTTAAACCCCTTAAACCCCTTAAACCCCTAAACCCCTAAACCCCTAAAACCCCTAAACCCCCAAACCCCTAAACCCCTAAACCCCTAAACCCCTAAACCCTAAACCCTAAACCCTAAACCCCAAACCCTAAACCCTAAACCCTAAACCCTAAACCCCCTGCCTGACGCGGGCGCCCCGCAGGTGGGGGCCGCGAAGCATCGCCTGCTTTGACCCCTCCGGAGAGGATCTACGAAGCAAGGGACTGAAGGAGAGACCCTTCAAATACCCTAGGGTTTAGGGTTTAGGGTTTAGGGTTTAGGGTTTAGGGTTTAGGGTTTAGGGTTTAGGGTTTCGGGTTTAGTGTTTAGGGTTTAGGGAGGCAACCTAGGTATGTAAGGGTTACCGTACAAACGGTTTGAGCGGGGTTATATAAACAAATTTCAACCCCAACTGACCGCCTGTTCGTTCGTGTTTAGTACGTCGAGTTCAGGTTTTACCCTGCATAGTCTGGGGATTCAAAGAAACCCTTGAAAAGGATCGCCGTTGTAGATCCGTGAAGGGGTCTGGGTTTTAAAGGGCTCATAGAAGTATGATCTTTATTACGAGTATCCCCAAATAGCACCCAATATGTATATATGTAAAATACATAGACTCACCAATATTCACAAGGAACTCAAAACTACCCTCACCAATAACAGCAATACAGCATAGTAGTTGGGGCTGATAAGTAGCTAGCTAGGCCCAAGAGTATCCTCAGAATAAAACGGGCTTATAAGGCAACCTTGACCTTAAAACAATGGGAACAACGGCCCTAGAAGTATAGTAACGTGAGAAGACTACGCTTTTTTTTCAAGGGAGTCGAACTTGGACCCTGAAGGAGGTACTCCACAGAGGTTCCCTTGAGATACTCCTACTACAGCCCTTATGTTCCCTGAGAGGATCAGACTACCAACTTAAGGGTTAGGGATCCAAGGTAGAGTCTCAGGAGAAGACTGCATTGTGCGTCGCAAAACCCACGCTTCTAAGTACCCTCAAAAAGGGTTTTTGGGGGTTCAGGAGGTACCCTGAGGCTCTATGAGGCCTCTTATTTTAGGTTTGTTGATCCCAAAGGCCTTCTTATGTAAGGTTCTTGGGGCTATGTTGAGCCCAAGGATGTAGGGTTTCGGGTTCTGGGTGTACCCTCTCTGCCGCACTTACAAGGAAGACCTCGGCGGCCACCGCGCCGCCCATCTCCGCCTTGGGGGGGTTTGGGTTGACACCGTGGGTTTAGGGGTTCAGGGGTTCAGGGGTTAGGGTTTAGGGTTTAGGGTTTAGGGTTTAGGGTTTAGGGTTTAGGGTTTAGGGTTTAGGGTTTAGGGTTTAGGGTTTAGGGGTAGAGGGTTTACATCCAAAACCGGCCGAAGGGCTGTCGCCCATGAATGTTGTTTGATTCGGAAGTGTTTTATAGGATCTGGAAAGGCATGTTGATTCAGAAGGATTCCTTAGGCCCAACATCAAGTATCAAGACAGACCCAAAAAAAAGTTCGGCGCCTGAAAAGACTTAACAAGACCTACCCCGACCGGGCTCCGTAAGGTCCAGGATCCCTTTGCCGGTGGAAGAAAGGTCCGAAACCAAAAACCAGCTTTTGTGAACCTTAGGGTTTAGGGTTTTTAGGGTTTAGGGTTTAGGGTTTAGGGCTTAGGGCTTAGGGCTTAGGGTTTAGGGTTTAGGGTTTAGGGTTTAGGGTTTAGGGTTTAGGGTTTAGGGTTTAGGGTTTAGGGTTTAGGGTATTCCCCGCAGAAGCCGTTTGCTTCCAACGGCTTCCAAAACCAATTTTTTCAAGACACCAAGTACATGTCGGTGAGCTCAAGCTCTTCGCCAGCAAAGCCGGCTGTCCCTTCCCATAGGCCGCCAGCAGAGCGAGCATAGGAGCATCAGCCGGACTGGCCCAGAGCCGGCCTCATGAGCAACAGCCGGACTGGCCTTTGCCACAGGCCATGAACACAAGGCGAGCATCATGAGCATCAGCCGGACGCGCCGCTGCCATAGGCCGCCAGCAGCCAGCGAGCATCATGAGCATCAGCCGGACTGGCGATGACCAAGAGCATGAGCCGGACTGGCTTGCCAAAGGCCGCCAGCAAAGCAAAGCCAGCATCATGAGCATCAGCCAGACTGGCCCATAGACTCAAAGCCACTCCAAGCTCGGGGGTTGGGTGGTGGAGAACCCCAAAACTGCTAAGTTTTCGTTAGGGTTCGGCTAATAAGCCGGAGTCCGAGTGCATTGCAGCGAACGGGTGGTTGGGGTGGGATCCGCTGCACCAGAACACCCTCAGCAAACCCTAAACCCTAAACCCTAAACCCTAAACCCTGAACCCATATTCCCCGACTGCACAGCCAGGTCCAGTTCCGGTTTTGGGTGACGTCTGAAGCCCTGAAGCCTATACTAGGCCCGAGAGTAACCTAGGAATCAAAAGGGTACCCTTTGTGGGTTAAAGGGGTTCATCACGAACCCCTCCCCCCCCCCCCCCCCCAAAAAAAAAAATGAGAAGGGAATGAGGACCCTACCCTGGGTCCTAGAAAAACCTTAAATCCTAAACCCAAAGCCTAGACCCTAAATCCTAAACCCTAAACTAAACCCTGAACCCTGAACCCAAAACCCTAAACCCTAAACCCTAAATCCTAAACCCTAAACCCTGAACCCTAAATCACCTTTAGGGGTTTCGCCGTTTCTCTGCCCGCCCAAGCGGCCGCGCGCTTGGCTGCCAGGCCCTCCTCGGCACCCTCGGTGAAGGCCACCTGCCAGTGTGGAGGAGCCCATGGGCGAAGCTTCGGGAGAGGGTTTAGGGTTTAGGGCTTAGGGCTTAGGGCTTAGGGCTTAGGGTTTAGGGTTTAGGGTTTAGGGTTTAGGGTTTAGGGTTTAGGGTTTAGGGTTTAGGGTTTAGGGCTTAGGGCTTAGGGTTTAGGGTTTGGGGTCTACAAACAAGGTTGTGAATTCGCAGTCTTCTTCCGAAACCCAAAGGCTTTGAATGAGCCAAAAGCCACGCCATGGGCCGCCATGGATGCATTTATAGAGTTTAGGGTGTTGTGCGTTGTCCAACCCTAAACCCTAAACCCTAAACCCTAAACCCTAAACCCTAAGCCCTAAACCCTAAACCCTAAACCCGAAGCCCCATGAAAGTTTCCGGCTTAGAATCGCAGACCAACCCTAGAGCCTGGAGACGGGGCCCTCGAAATGCCACTGGACCTTCGGCACCCGAAGCACCCTAATGCCGTAGGGTCTATAATGATATGGGGAGGTTATGGGAGGTGAGGGTTTAGAGTTTAGGGGTTTCGGGGTTTACGGGTTCAGGGGTTTAGGGTTTAGGATTTGGGGGAGTCGGGGGGTTCGGGGGGTTCGGGGGGTTTGGGGGCTTTCATGGGGCTGTGGCCTCATCCTCGTCTTCAGGCTGGGTGCCCTGCCAGGCAAACGGATCCCACTTTGTGTATAGGGCTCGGGGCATCGGCCTAGAACCTTCAACCCTGAACGGGTGTAGGGTTTAGGGTTTAGGGTTCAGGGTTCAGGGTTCAGGGTTTAGGGTTTAGGGCTCAGGTATCAACTAGGGGCTCCGTCTCGTATGGATCAACAGCAGAGTTCGAGGGGAGCGGGCTAACCCTGAACCCCTGAATCGCAAAAGCCACGGGCCCAAAACCTTAAACTGGAGTCCGAAACCCTGAACCCTCATTCCCTAAACCCTAAACCCTAAACCCTAAACCCTAAACCGCAAACCCTCAAGAGATATCACTGACCCCCTAAACTCTGACCTCCACTTGTCCTACTTGGAGGTTCATGGTACTTACTAACCAGTTATGACTGTACTTATAACTGAACTTACAGTATAACCATATTAGGGCACTTAAGGGGCTTAGAAGTGGGTTATAAGTACAGTTATAACTGGTTTGTAAGTGCCCCTTAAACCCTAAACCCTAAACCCCAAACCTTAAACCCTGTTATAATTGGTTAACAAGTACCATGATACTCCAAGCAGGCGGAAGGAAGGCACCTCCTGCGACACGGAGGCCACTGCCTGCCAGACGAGCTCTTAGGGTTTGGGTTTAGGGTTTAGGGTTTAGGGTTTAGGGTTTAGGGTTTAGGGTTTAGGGTTTAGGGTTTAGGGTTTAGGGTTTAGGGTTTAGGGTTTAGGGTTTAGGGTTTAGGGTTTAGGGTGTAGGGTTAGGGTTTAGGGTTTAGGGTTTAGGGTTTAGGGTTTAGGGTTTAGGATTTAGGACTTAGGATTTAGGGTTTAGGGTTTAGGGTTTACGTAGGCATATTGCAGACGAGCTACTTGGAGGTTCATGGTGCTTATGAACCAACTATGACTGCACTTGTAAGGGTTTAGGGTTTGGGGTTTAGGATAACTGCACTTATGACCCTCTGAGAGCACTTAAGGGGCTTATAAGTGGGTTATAAGTACCGTTCTAATTGGTTAATAAGTACTATGAACCTCCAAGTAGAAGCCCCCAGCATCTCTCAGCAAAGGAAGGCTACCTGACACTTCATACTAATAGGCCCAAGACTAACCTAGGAATGACAAGGGGTTCTCAACATGCTGTAGGCCTAGACCTTAGAAGGTCGTACAACAAGCCCAGGACGGAGCCTCCACGACTAAATCCCAAACCCTAAGCCCTAAACCCTAAACCCTGAACCCCGAACCCTAAACCCTAAACCCTAAACCCGAAACCCTAAACCCTAAACCCTAAACCCGAAACCCTAAACCCTAAACCCTAAACCCCAAGCCCTAAACCCGAAACCCTAAACCCTAAACCCGAAACCCTGTGTGCAGAGCCAGGGCTCCAGGTTATTTGGGTACGGGGGCTTTACGGGCTTGGGGTCTACCCTAAACCCTAAACCCTAAACCCTAAACCCTAAACCCTAAACCCTAAACCCTGAACCCTGAACCCTGAACCCTAAAACGCACTTGGGGCTTTTGGTAATGGAGGTAGGATTTAGGGTTCAGGGCTTCGGGGTTCTAGACATTTTTTGTCTTACCCTAGACCCTAAAACCTAAACCCTAAACCCGTGAAGCCATAGTTTTGTCTCAGGGCTGGCTTGAGGGTGCTTCGGTCTTTAGATTCAAAAATTACTGTTTGGAGCCTACGGGTCCTTAGGGATTTGAGGCGTTTATAGGGTTTAGGGTTTAGGGTGTCGGGCGTAGGGTTTATAGGGTTTATAGGGTTTAGGGTTTAGGGTTTAGAGTTTAGGGTTTAGGGTTTAGGGTTTGGGGTGGTCTAGGGTTTAGGGTTTAGGGTTTAGGGTTTAGGGTTTGGGGTTTAGGGTTTAGGGTGGTCTAGGGTTTAGGGTTGAGGGTTTGGGGCATCGCTGAACCCCTGCACGCTACACACTTTGCCTGCTCGTCCTGGTCACCAGGTGGTACGACGAGGGCATCCTTCGGAGGGCCCGACAGCCGGCTTGGTATAGGGTTTAGGGTTTAGGGTTTAGGGTTTAGGGTTTAGGGTTTAGGGTTTAGGGTTTAGGGTTTAGGGTTTAGGGTTTAGGGTTTAGGGTTTAGGGTTTAGGGTTTAGGGTTTAGGGTTTAGGGTTTAGGGTGGAGGCTTGAGGGTTGAGGGTTGAGGGTTGACGTTTGAGGGTTGAGGGTTTAGGGTTTAGGGTTTAGGGTAATTAGCGTTATATCGGGGCGCGCGTATATACCCCCTGCGAAGCTGAACGGCCCATGCTTCAGAACTCCCGTAAAGAAGCTCAAGGGACCATGTCATCACCCTGAGATCATTGGGATGACAGGGTTTAGGGTTTAGGGGTTTAGGGTTTAGGGTTTAGGGTTTAGGGTTTAGGGCTTTAGGGTTTAGGGTTTTAGGGTTTTAGGGTTTAGGGTTTAGGGTTTAGGGTTTAGGGTTTAGGTTTAGGGTTTAGGGTTTAGGGTTTAGGGTACTACCCTAAAACCCTCTTGGGAGCGGGTTGGGCATGTTTTGCACACTAAGACACCCCTACCAGGAAACTGCGTTTGATCCTTCGGGGCAACTGATATCCCAGAAACCCGAAACCCAGAGAGAAGAACTGACGCACGGAAGCATGGTGGCAGTGTGATTGGCGCAAGCCTCACTCTCGTTCTTCGTCTATTCTCTGTGCTATGGCTTCCACTGCTCGACCCTGGAGTAACCTAGGAATAGCAAGGGTGCCTTTTTTTGGTTTGAAGGGGGTTATAAACCCTGAAAAAAGGGAATAGGGGCCTACTCTGAATCCTAGTCTAACCTTATTAGGGCCCTAAACCCTAAACCCTAAACCCTAAACCCTAAACCCTAAACCCTAAACCCTAAACCCTAAACCCTAAACCCTAAACCCTAAACCCTAAACCCTATCACCTTCAAGGGTGTCGATGTTTCTAAGGCTCCTTGACGTCATGCAACTTCGGAGCAATCCCACCTTATCGCAGCAGAAACGAGCCGAAGCAACACCGAAGTGCCCTCAAGGCTCTTAAACCCTCGGCCGGCGGTTTAGGGTTTAGGGTTTAGGGTTTAGGGTTTAGGGTTTAGGATTTAGGGTTTAGGGTTTAGGGTTCAGGGTTCAGGGTTCAGGGTTCAGGGAACCCTCCACTTGTCATGACGCGGGGTCCTCCTGTGCAGTCTGGTCAGCTGCTGACCTTGGTGTTGGGCTCAGGATTCAGGATGCAGGGGATGTTCAGGGTTTAGGTCAGCGTTCAGGGGAGGGGGAGGGGGGTGTGCAGGGTCCGCCTAAACCTGAAACCCTAAACCCTAAACCCTAAACCCTATACCCTAAACCCTAAACCCTAAGCTGGGTTAAGGGGATGCTCAGGGTCTTTTCTGGCACACACGGTGTCCACGGCTCGCGGAAGTCTAAGGGTAGCTGCATGGTCACCCCTTACATACCCCTTACATGCCCTATACAACCCAAGGGCCCATACTTCAGAACCCTTTAAAGAAGGTAAGGGATAGTAAGGGACCATATCAAGGGACATCCTAGCCCCCGAAAGTTCAAGGGTTTTAGGGTTTAGGGCTACGCTAAACCCTAAATCCTTTAAACCCGCAGCATTAGCACGATCCGGCCGAGCATCCACTGGGCCCACAGGGAGTCGACTTCCATGGCCGCAGCCGCCGGGGCATGGATTCGGTCGGGCTTTGGTACTGTCGGCCTTTCTTAGGGCTTATTAGGATTTAGGGTTCAGGGTGTAGGGTGGTTTAGAGGAGGCTTGCAAGCGATGATAAGGGCTTAGAAGGGCTTATAGGGGCTTACAAGGTCTTATAAGGGCTTAGAAGGGTTTGTAAGGGCTTAAAAGGGCTTAGGGCTTATAACGGCCTAGGGGCACGGGAGCTTAGGGCTTATACTGTTTCGGGCTCAGGGTTTCGGGTTATTAGGTCTTTTAACTTTAAACATTTTTGGGGGTTCAGGGCGTTGAGGCTTGTAGTTCTGACACCCAGGTCTCTCGTAGGTTTTTGCTGTATGTTGGCGGTGATATCTGATGCCCCTTGAGCCAAGAATGCTTCTGATGAAAGGTGCCTCTGCCCAGGGCGCTTCATAACTAGGCTTCGAGGTTCAAGTCTTGGGTCTTGGGCGTAGGATTAGGGTTTAGGGTTTAAGGTTTGGGGTTTTAGGGTTTAGGGTTTAGGGTTTAGGGCTTTAGGGTTTAGGGTTTAGGGTTTAGGGTTTAGGGTTTAGGGTTTAGGGTTTAGGGTTTAGGGTTTAGGGTTTAGGGTGGAGGCTTGAGGGTTTAGGGTTTACGGACCCTAAGCCCTAAACCCTAAACCCTAAACCCTAACAAAACCGCCAGGTAGAAAGAGTTTAGGGCCCTGGCTCTTTCTTGAAGGGTTCGGGGTTGAGAATTCAGGGCTCAGGTCTTTTGGGATTGGGCCTTTGCAAGAGCCATCTCAATCCCTGCAAGGGTTTGGGGTTTGGGGTTTAGGGTTTAAGGCTTGGGGTTTAGGGTTTAGGGTTTGGGGTTTAGGGTTTGGAGTTTCGGGATTGGGGTTTATGGGTTTTGGGTTGGGGTCTGGGGTTTGCCCTAAATTAGGGTTTGGGTTTTTGGGGTTTGCTGCCCCTGAACCCTCAGCCCCTCGAACCCACATCCTCCACCTTCAGCCCTACTGGTGTAAGGTTCTAAGGGTAGGGTTTAGCATGCTAAGGGCAGGGCTTAGGGTTTGGGGTTTCGGGTTTAGGGTTGAGAGCTTTGGTCGGTGGCTGAGAGCAAAGTCTCTCTCTCTCTCTCTCTCCCTCAGTCGTTCTCACTTTCTCTCTCTCTCTCTCTCTCTCGCCCTCGCTCTCGCTCTCTCGCGCTCGCTCTCTCTCCCTCTCTCTTTCTCTCTCTCTCTCTCTCTCTCTCTCTCTCTCTCTCTCTCTCTCTCTCTCTTTCTGATCCTACTTAATTCAAGCTCCGACTTCCTAAGCCCTAAACCCTAGCCCTAAACCCTAAACCCTAGACCCTAAACCCTAAACCCTAAACCCTAAACCCTAAACCCTAAACCCTAAACCCTAAACCCTAAACCCTAAACCCTAAACGGCTCTGGGGGTGGCCGTGCGGGCACCTTGGAGAACCGAGGGCCAGCAACTGCTGACCCGCGTCGGTCATGGCTTTGGCACCTGGGTGCTCAGTGAGGGTTTAGGGTTTAGGGTTTAGGGTTTAGGGTTTAGGGTTTAGGGTTTAGGGTTTGGGGTTTGGGGTTTGGGGTTTGGGGTTTGGGGTTTAGGGTTTAGGGTTTAGGGTTTGGGGTTTAGGGTTTAGGGTTTGGGGTTGGGGGTGGGGTTTGGGGTTTTAGGGTTTGGGGTTTGGGGTTTGGGGTTTAGGGTTTAGGGTTTAGGGTTTGGGGTTTGGGGTTTGGGGTTTAGGGTGGTTTAGGGTGGTTTAGGGTTTAGGGTTTGGGGTTTGGGGTTTAGGGTTTGGGGTTTAGGGTTTGGGGTTTAGGGTTTAGGGTTTAGGGTTTCAGGTTTGGGGTGTAGGGTTTGGGGTTTAGGGTTTAGGGCTCAGGGTTTAGGGTTTTGGAGTTTGAAGTTTCAGGTTTAGGGTTTAGGGTTTGGGGTTTGGGGCTTGGGGTCTGAGGTTTAGGGTTTAGGGCTTCGGGGTTTGGGAGAGTTTCGGGTTGCTGGGTTGGGGGTGTTGTTTGGGGTTTGGGGTTTAGGTTTTAGGGTTTCGGGGCTTGGGGATAAGGATTTGTCTTTAACTAAGGCGTCTCGCCGCGAAGCGGCAGTGAATACAACGTGGAATTGACGCCCCAACAGCAACGTGCTCTTTTAGTAATAATAATATCATCTACATGAATACAATGAACGCACCCTGTTATGTCATCTCTTTCGCTGATTGACAGATCACTTGTTCATGTCATTCTCTTGTATCTGTTGAGATGCCACAAAGTTCGTTCATCTTATTCATTCAGTGAATGAATAAGGGCAAAAGACGGTATAACTACGGGCCTAGGAACAGACTCAAAATGTGGCCCGGTCATGCTGCATGCACAAAGAAATGAAATCACGCACATGCGTTTGTAATTAGCATCTTGTGCTCACTTTATGTTATTTATTATCTGGGCTGGAACCTT